ATATTCACTGAGCATCTATTATGTGACATCTATTGCCCTCCCCCCCATCCACCCCTCCAGCTCCTCTTATAAGTACCTTCTGCCCAGCTGATTGGCTGCCTCCCTATCTCCTTCCTGATGCCAAGCATTTGCCTTTGCTATTTCTTCCACCAAGGTTGCCTTTCTTCTCCGCTCTGCAAAGCTAAATTCCCTTCTAATCCTCTGAAGCCTGCAGCAGCTGTCTCCACCAGGAAGCCTTCTCTGACTGTCAGAACATGCTTTGACACTTAACTGCTCCCCATCCTGTCTTCCTGGGTGGGACTGGGGGATCCTCTCAAACTACCACCAGGTCTCCTCCTCATGCTGTGTGATGGACAAAGGCTGGTAGAGGGTTCTGGGCTGGTCCAGGTCAGGGCCGGTGGTGGGGGGGATGTAGCCTCAACTACAAGGACTGTACTGGCCCATGTACATGCAGAAGGGCCAGGGCAGCCCCGCTGAGCCTGCTCTCTGCCCCAAAGGGGCTGATATCTGCGTGGAGAGCTCACATGGCGAGACATGTACAGACAGCACCTCACAGTTAGGGAGCCCACAGTCCCCCTGGGGTCCATGAGGAATACCCACATTCACACAGCAACACGCATGGCACTGACACAAACAGCAGTCACACGTGCATGCTCATGCACATATGCACACAAAATACATGGGATACTCATGGACACTCTGACGACGCTCAAGGAGAGCTGCACCCCACACACACACCCATCCCATCGTGGGAAGGCCAGCCAGGACAGAGGCCCGGCGTCAGGCGAGGTGGTGACCACATGACCGCGTCCCTCCAGCTGGGCGCCTGTCTGGCTTTCCCCTCCTTGCACACAGTCCTCGGACACTTGTGTCAACATGCGCCCTGAGTGACCACTGCATAATGTGGGACCTGCGCGCTGTCTTGAGAATGTGTTCAGGGGCTGCCCCTGGACCCCCGCTCCTCCCAAAGGCCTGGATATTTCCACGTGTGTACGAGGCCTAGTGCCCACTGCGTGCGCACACACAGCCGACAGGGAGGCCTCGGGGCCTGGGCCGGGAAACAGCTCCCGCCTGTGCTGTGCAGACATCTTGTCCGTACCGCCAGCCCCACAGCCTGGGGAGTGGGTGGGATGCCAAGCCGATCTCTGCACAAGGGAAGATACTCAGGGGCCTGCTGTCTCCCTCCTTGGTCAAGCCACCCTCTCCCTCCCTTACCTGTTTCCCTATGTCAGGGTCACCTCTTCCAGGAGGCTTTCCTGGGCCCCAGGAATTGTCTGGGTTGGTGTTTGAGACTCCGCTTTGGAAAGGGTCTTTCTGGGTAGTCTGCCTAGAGGTCCTGGCTCTGTTCTGACAGGAGAGGAGGTCCAAGCCCCCGGAACAGGAGTGGCCAGATTGTGTTCAGCAGGCCTGACAGGGGGTGGGGGGGTGGGGGGGTTGACTTCAGAGGCACAGCATCGCGGGGAAGGGCCGCCCAATCAGCCAGAGCAAAGTGAGGTGTGGACAAGGCTGGGCACCTACAGGCATGGTGGGGATCACCTTCCATCTTTGTGCCTCAGTTTCCCTATCGCTCAATGGGATACCGTGGTCTTCACAACTCAAGGTGAAAACACCCTGAAAATACCCTGGAGGTATTAAGGTCTCATGGTACTTTTCTGCAGGGTGTCCTCCTAGTCCCCTCAGCGAGCTCTGGGCCACAGCGATGCCACTCAGAGGAGAGGACAGAGGGTGCGGAGGCAGGGTAGAGAGTGCCAGCAAGAGGCAGTGGTTGCCCTAAGAGAGAGAGGGTAAAGATGAGAAGAAAGGCAGCCATAGGCCCCCCATGAGCAAGCGCGCCCCCCACCTGGCACAGGCCCCTGGTCCGGAGCCCCACCTCCAGCTCGTTAGCTAAGACCTGCTCGTTAATCACCGGGGCCTCTGCTCCCAGCCTTGGCTGTGTCAGGCCGTAATAATATATGAAGAACATTCATTTATTCACCAACTTCCCACTCAGGAGAAGATATATGACGTTGTAGGAATGGATTTATCCTGACGCCCAGCTTTCAGCAAAGTGAGGCTAATTTAAACATTTAAGTCAATGGCTCACCCCTCCCTTTGCCTCCCAATTTTTTTTTTTTAACAGTGGGAAGGTGAAGGAAGGAAGGAAGGAAAAAATTTACAGTCTGCTTGGTTGGAGGGCTAAAGGCAATGGAAAAGGAAAGAGACCCCAGCCAGCTCCCTCTGGCCTCCTCACACACGCCCATCCCTGAAATAAATCAACACAAGGAGTGGGTGCAGGAGGACCCCACACGGGGGGTCTAAACTGGACCCCATAGACTGGATTGGGGCCTGTTGGCACTAACTGCACCACGCAAAGCTCCTGCCCACCTCCCCCGCCCCCCATTTCCCGTCTGCAAAGCAGAAGGCCGAGCAAACCAGACACCACGCAGGTCTCCCCCGCTTCCAGGCTGTCCCCTCCTGGGCCCTCAGAAGCAGCTGAAGTGGGGGCAGAGCAGGCTTCTGGACAGTCAGGGTGTGCCTCACAGAGGAGGTGAGGCTTTGGTTGAGACCAGGGGAGCCGACAGATCTTGGCTCTTTAGGAGCATGGCCTCTGGGGCTGGATGCTGGGCACAAATCCCTGCTTTCCCGCCTGCTCTGCAGTCTGGGAGGGCTGCTTACCCTCCCTGTGCCTCGGTTTCCTCATCTAAGCGGTGATCATGAGCGTGCCTACCCCATGGTGGCCTTGGGAGGATTAGATGGGGCCACCATCCATGAGAAGCCCCCGGCAGCCACCACGTCCTGGGCATCAGGAAGGGTTTGGGAGGCAAGAAGAGGAGTTTTCAGGGGCGTCTAGTCTAACCCAGGTCTCCCCAGTCATATCCCCACTTCAGCCCAGGCCTGTCTGAGGTGGTCCCAGCTGGGATCTGTTCTGCTTAGCCCACGCGGACCCCACCAGGCTCCCACCCGAGGGAGCAAGGTTTCTCTTTGCTGTAGGCAGAGATCAAGCTGCCCTACCCTCCATTAGTAAGAAATGAAATTAGAACCAGGGCCTTCCCCAAAACCCTTAACAGCAGGGCAGGCAAGCGGGTGGCAGACAGTCAGGGGGCCTGTGTGAATGAAACACCCTGTGCACACACACTGTACACACGCACTTGCACGCGTGCACACTGCCTTTCGCGCAGCTCCCCCTCCCTCCTCTGGTCCATGTCCTGAGGTTACAAGCCACCAGCTGCACCCAGCACCCTTGAGCCCAAAAGTGGGTTGGTGAGGAGGCGTGGTATAGGCTGGAAGGGTCCAGCCCAGTGGAAGGCCGGAGGGCAGCTGGGAGGGAGGTAAAGGGACCCCACACTGCCAGAGCCCCCATGCCAAGTTACTCTCAGAGCCTCTGTGAGAAAATGGAGCCCGCTTGCACCAGCTCACCAGGGGGCTTGTGAAGATGGAAGGGCCATCAGACATTGAAGCACCAAGCCAGGAGCCTGGCACACAGTAGGTGCTCATCAAGTGCTCGCAACACCAGCACCTTGTTTTCGGGGAGGCAGGGAGAGCCAAAACAGACTTCACCTCAAGCGCCGCCAAACAGGATCCCCCATTAGACAGTGATGGACTGGAGCCTGAGACTGGGGAAAAGAGCGCCAGCTTCCGCGGGGGCGGCTGCATCTCTGTAAATCTCGCTCTAATTGAGTGTCCTATTAAAACACACGACTGGTAACGCAGCCATCCTAATGAAAGAGTCCCTGTGCTGGTTTTAAAAGTCATAACGGAACACACATGCCGACCCCTGTCCCTGGGGCACAGTCAAGAGGAACCTGGCCTCTGAGCCAAACCTGAAGCCAGGACGCACGCACGCTCCCCTGGTGCCAGCCAGTGCCCAGCCCAGAGGGCCCTCGGTGGCCACACCCTATAAAGTGACTGCCAGGTCTCAGAGGCCCCCTCCCTCCCCAAGCCTAGGTGACAATTCTAAGGAGGCAGCTATTTTTCCTCCTTAAAAGGGAGCTCAGCTGTGACTCACCCTGTTTCCCTCAGCAGCTGGCTTCTGCCTGGTGGCCCTAGCACCACGCCTGCCTGCCTGCCCTGAGGCCCCTCCCCCATGGGGAGGAGGGTGCCTGTGCAAAGGGGGAAGGAGCATTTACCTGACCTGGCTGCAAATGGAGAAGGTCAGGGGGGTGGCAAGAGCCCTGCCACTGAGGTTGTCCCAGCCTGTCCCCCAGACTCCTCTCGAGACCCCAGCCCCACTGGGCTTCAGCACCCATCAGTAAAAGCAGGGGTTGGGCCTGCACAGGGCTTGCAAACTGGGTAACAGAATGCTTCGGCCTACTCGGTGGTTTTTAAAAGATTTGAATCAGATGCCAACTTTTACAAATCATATAGAGATAAGATTTCTGGTTCCTTTTTTTTTTTTTTTTTTTAGGATTTATTTATCTATGCATACAAGAGCTGGGGCGCAGGCCAGAGGCGTGGGGGGTGAGAGGATTCACCAGAGACAGAGTGGGGAGCAGAACAGGCAGAAAGACTGAAACACACTGCTGAGGGGAGCAGCGGGTGAGACAGGAGAGGTCTGCTGCGCCATGTGGGTAGCTCCCTGGCCAGGATCGAACCCCACTGTGCCAATGTTCGACCCCCTGTGCCACCAGGGAGGCCCCAAGATTTCTGGTTTCTTTTTGACAAATCTCATGCGGCCTCACAAAGCCTGCATTTGCACATGGCAGCAAGGAGCTGTGGCTGCCTGACCAGGGCCCTGCCCTTCTCTTAGGCCCTGCCATCTTGCCCGATGCATTTCCATGCCCGCCTGTGAGTTTAAGACCCGTGGGCCGGATAAAGCTCAGGAAGGGCCAACCTCTAGTTCTGAGGTTCCAGATCTACTGCCTGGGGTTGGTGGAACTGGGGCACAGAAGAAAAAGGGGGTAACTGGACTCACAGTCTAATTCTAATGGGAAACACAATCCAGGGACATACAAACCACAGAATTTATTGTAAAAAAGTTTTACTTTATTGTTATTATTAACAGCATTTGAAATTCACACTGTTCTATTAAACCAAACATCTGTGCCAGTGCAGGGCATGGCACAGTGCTGGCACCCGCACCCAGCTGTGAGGGATGGACCTGGAGGGCCAGTCAGATGCAGGGCTGCACGCAGTCAGAGGCTTCCTCGCAGCTTGCTGACAGGCAGAGCCGGGGTGGACATTCGCTGTTTTCATATTTGGGGACGCAACATCCAGTTGAAAGGGCTGAGTGGTAACTGCGCAAATACACATAATGAGCTAAAAGCTTTTCTCCACTATGATTGTGCCCTTTTGAGTTAAGATGTCTAGACTCCAGAAATACCATTAATCTGCTCTAGGTCAGGTATAGGACATTTCAGGTAAATAATTTCCCACCATCATTAAGTGCTAGAAGGAGAAATTCCAACAGGAGTTCTCAGGCTGAAGGGCACAGGGGCTGGGGGGATTCCAGGGGGTTTCCTGCCCTCGGGGGCATGGAGCCAAGTGCTGGTCTATCTACCTGCATCCCTTTGCCCAAGATATTCACCCAAGGAGCCGTGTGAGAGGAAAGGACCAGAAGGCGCTTTCTGAGCCCTGCCAGCCCCTCAAAAGCTTCCGTCCCAGGACATGGACTCCCTGAACCTCAGTTTTCCCACCTGTAACATGGACACGAGTGATGGAGGCAGGGCTGGCCATGCAGCAGTGCTCAGGGAGCAGGCCTCTGCTTCTCATCTCCTTCATTCCTATAGAAACGGCTCACACACCTCCCGGGGCCCAGGTCTAGGCTGTACTCTGCTACTAACCCTGGCCACGTGACCCCGGGCCAGACCCGGCCCACTCTGGTCTCAGGTGCCCCGTCTGCAAATGGGCCTTTTTGTCCTCTTGAGCCTTTTGAGCCCTAGAACTTAATGATCTAGCCCTGAAGTCACCTGGGCAGGCAGGGGGTTGCCCAGCCTGAAGGTTCCTGGCACCTGGGGGCGGAAGAGGACAAGGAAAGGGTTGAGGCAATGCGAAGGGCCCTGGCTGGAGAGGCAGAAAGGACTGTGGGCAGCGAGTGCAGGCCAGTCTTTCAAGGCCTGGGCTGTGGGGCCCAGACCTAATTGGGATGTGGGATGATGGCACACCAAGCACATCTTATTCTCAAAGGCCCAAGTGGAAGGACAAGACACAGTGTCTGGTAGGTCCAGGGGAGCAAGTGTCCACCTTGACCACCTTCCTCTCTGGGTCAGGACCCCAGTCCCTGTGCACAGACCCACATCAACTCCCAACCGGGGTCCACGGAGCAGATGCCTGAGGGGAGTAGATGCCCCACCAAGGCTCTATACACGCTGTCTCCCAGCTTTCTGCGCCTCGGGCTAGAAGATCTGGCATGGAAGCTGGAAAAAGCAAGACCAGAATGGAAGAGTACTTTGGGGTGCTACACTGTGGAAGAAGCTCCAACTACTGGTTCTTTGCCCAAGTAGGATTCCCCTCCCCGGTCTCTTACCTACCCGGAAAACTCCTTTCTGCACTTAACACTCAGCCCAGGGCCCCCTCCTCCAAGAAACCTTGCTTGACTCACCACACCAAGAAAGGCACCATTGCACTGCCCTAGCTGTCAAGCAGCCCCAAAGTTGTCTCCCCAATACACTGGGAGCTCCCTGAGGGAGGGACTAGGTCTGGTAGCTGGCATCCTAGTACCTGCTCCAGGACCCTGCCTGGCACATAGTAGGTGCTTAACAGACATTGAAGGAAGGAACAGAGGACCAAAGAGGAACAGGTGCGGAGAACCGCCCAGAAAGGGAGGTGCCCGCCCGCCCCGCCCCGCCCTCGCCAAGTTGGCAAAAGCTGCAGAATTAAGCACAAGTTATAATTAAGACGGGATGTTTGAAGAGAAACATAATCTCCGTTTCCGTGGGATCCGCGGGCACAACAGTAATTAACGTCTCATTAACATTCGCCTAATTAAGCAGTTTATGAAAGTGTATGGATTTGCATCCCGCCATGCCAGGCTCGCTCAGGCGGCAAAATTAACCCCTCAGGTCTAGGCCAGCTAGGAGGCCAGGAGTGAGGGGGCTGGGAGGCAGGGGGGAGGGGTGGGGGCAGGAAAGAGGAGAGTGAGCAGAGGCTGGGGGGGAGGGCCCCCACCCTCCCACTCTGGCACTGCCCCCCCCACCGCCTGCCTCACAGCCCTCCCATCTCAGTGGGCCAAGGTCAGAGTTTCTCAAAAAGGATGCTTTACAAGGAAATGAGGTTCACCGGTCCCACCCTATGCACCCTCCAGGCTGTGCCCATCCCCCACTGAACGCCGGAGTATGCCACCCTGCATGAACTCCTCCTCCGCTATGCTCCTGGGAATAGGTATTCTACCTTTGCACCTTCAGGTACATGTACCTGCATTGCTATCCAGCCCGCCCCGCTCCCCGAGGACTGTGTTAGCATCCCTCCCAGTCCATCCAGGAGGAGAGCTGGCCGGGGAGGTCCTGACCCTGCCCAAGATCACAGAGCTGATCAGTGACCCACAGCCCTGCCCACTTCCCCCCTTGGCGGCAGAACACGCCACAGCCAGCAACAGCCACAGCCCTCCGCCCTGGGAAAAGACAGGCTGCTCTGGCTGCCTTCCCCTGGACACTAATTAACTGCCATCCCCGGAGCCTCTCCAACTCCCAGCCCAGCCACCCCTGCCACCCCTGCTGAAGCTGAGCTGGAATCAGCTCTGTGACCTGGCCCTGGCAGGAGGCATCAGTTCTCCAAAAGAGAACAATATACCCGGGCCCTTCAGGATGGTGTCAAGGATCAAGTAAAGCATTTTCCTCCAAAGCACTTTAAAGCCCTGACACTGTACGCTTTTCCCTTGCTCATTAATTATCTTCTCTATCCCCCTCCCACTGCATTCATGCCCGCCATTTGTGCCTGTCATCTCTCCGGACATTCCCAGAGCAAATTAGGACCACTTTTCTCGGTGATAATTTAGCAATATACATCAAGAGCCTTAAAAATGCTCATTCTCAACAAGCTATAAAAAGCATAGACCATAAAGGTGAGGGATTTGACTTTGCTACAATTTGAATCATCTGTGCAACAAAAGATATCACAAAAGAAACAGACAAGCCATGGACGGTACAGGACACTACACCTGCCGTGCCTGTAAGTGACAAGTTAAATCAATAAGACAATGACAAATCACCCACTTTTTGTAAAAGACACCGAATAGAAACAGGCAATTGGCAGAGGAGGAGGTCTGAAGGACCAACAAACACCAGACCAGACCTCGGCAAAGCCAAGGTCCTGAAAAATCTACGTAAAACTAGGCGGTATACTTCCACACCCATGAAGTTGGCAGACATCTAAAAAGTTGGGGTGACCAGCCAAAGTTGCTGTGGACTTCGAATATGTTGCCTGTTGAACTGGAAGTTGCTACATGCATTTTGGGAAAAGGTTTGGCCTTTTCTGTCAAGGGAAAGATGCTAAGCGCCCCCACCAATCAATTCCACTCCAAGAACAACACTCCCACACATGCACCAGCGGCATGTGTAATGCTCACAGCAGCTTCATCTGTAAGAGTGAAAAGGGGAAACACTAAACGTCCACCAGCAGGCGAATGGACCAGTGTGGGATGTACAGGTTAACTGTGGCAGACCGAACACATGTACCACCTTCACTCCTTTCCAAAACCCCATTATGACAATAAAGGATCTTTTTTGTACAAAAACCTACAGGGACAAAGAATGGAAGAAGAGGAAACAGCAATGTAATTTTGGAAGTTGGAAAGCAGATGGGTGAGTGGTAATTGATTTGGCAGAGCCGAGAAAGCAGACTCCCAAGTCCCCATCCTATTACCTGGAAGAACCCACCACAGGCTCATAACTGGTTGCACCAAGTGACCTTGGACATATGAATGGAGGACTCATTGGAAGGCTGAGTAGGAAGCAGGTAGACCCTAAGGAACTTCCATCCCCAGCTCTGTCCAGAGAAGCCTGGAGTTTTGTGGATTTTTCTTCCCCCGAGGAGGAGGAGCCTGAGGGTGTCTGGACGGAGAGAAACAGACCAGATGGAAGGTGGATATTACACTGAAAACAGGAGGAGTAGGTGAAAGTTTATGTGCTGAATTCCAGCCTTTCTCTCCCAACTGGCTCCAGGACACTCCACCCTGCAGCTCCCGGGTGAACCCACCCAGGCTGAGCAGCCAAGGGGTAGCCATGTTGAGCTGCATGTCCACATACCTGGGGGCCAGCCAACATTCTCAGCGCCCCGTCCTTAACAGGAGCTACCAACTGAGCACCACCAGACAGCGGAACATCTATCTGCCCCACCAGCTCAAAGACTTGACCATCTTTTTTAGAACTAGAGAATGGGGCTGTCACGGAGCAGACAGGTGATGTGAATTGATTGAAGAAACCACCGACAGGAAAGGCAGTCCCAAACAAGCAAGCAAATAAAAAAGAAAAGTGCAATTTGAAGGAAACAGGCCCTGCAAAAGAAGGAAACTTTTAAAAGCATGAGTTATTATTATGCAATGAGAAATGAAATAGAGTATTCATGAAAAAAGAAATGGATGCAATATATTTTTAAGAGAACATTCAGCCAATAAAAAGCTATCTTGGAAATTTAAAATTTATAAAGCAGAAATCAAAAACTCTATTAAAAGGAGAGAATGATAACACTGAGGAGATTTCCTAGAAAGAAGGACAGAAAGATAAAGAGATGTGACAAAGGAGAAAAGAGATAAGGAAGTTAGGGGCCCATCCAGGAAGCGCAACATCTGGTTAATTGGGGTCCCAGAAAGAGGGAGAACAGAGAAAATAGAGGTCAGAAAATCATAAAGGAGTAAGTAAAACACTTTTCCAGTGCCAAAGAACATGAATTTCCAATTTGAAAGGGCAGACCCTCACCAACGCCCAGCACAGTGAATTATCGGAACACGGCGAGAAGGAGAAGCTCATCCCAGCTTCCAGAAAGCAAATCCTCAGGTAACCTGCACAGACTAGCTGTCAGGACATCCGTGGACCTGTCAACACCAGCACTGTGAGCAGCTTCAAAGGAGCGACTCTAAAGGGTGGCCCCCTTTCAAATTCTGGGGGAAGAAATAGCTCCATCTGCAATTCTCTACCCAGTCAGAGGATCCACCAACATCCAGGACAGAACCAAGAGTTTTCAGACATGCCAGCTCTCAAAAAATGCTATTGGAAAGTATGTGTCACCAAAATGAGAGTGTGAACCCAGGGGATGGTGTGGAATTAGGAAACAAGAGCCCCAGCACCAGAGGAGAAAGGGAACC